TAATGTAAATTCAAAAGTTATTAGAAAATGGTCAGACAGAAGAGGGTTTTGGGAAAAAACTATTAAGACTAAGGTGCATCTTTGCACAAGAACAATACCTGCATTCTCCCTTCATTATCCTCACCTCATTCTGTAGAATGAGCCTTTAAAGAAAGGTGAGAAGGTTTGTTATCGACACCGACACGTCTGCACAAAAAGACTGACAAGTCTATTGTCAAACTCGCCATTTAACCGGCTGCGGTCTGTCAAGCTTGACATGTTTAATGAGGGACTCATACTCCTCCCTCCACTTAAATATCTCGACAGGTTTTGTCTCCACAGATGTCTGTGCAGATGAAGAAGCGACACATTGTGTTACTTCATGTCTAGGACTTGTGGGAAATTGTGTTCATCAGAAACCTCTGGAATTACACACATTATATAAACAATATTCCATTGTGTTTTAGAACAGCACTGGTTGCCAGTCAGAAACCTGTCTAGACTGATAACTGTGGTATGTTTTAATCATTCACTTGAGGATTTCTGGCTGCTGGAAAAGTAACTGGAAGTTCTGGTTTCACTTCAATTTAATATTTCATATGTGGAGTTTTCTGCCTCCAAGGCAAAGAAAAAAAAGTTTTCAAATAAGATTTTGGTTCTCAACAAAAATGAATTGAGATGGAGATTTTATGCAGTGACTCACATGTGTATATACACCTAGAAAAATGCACACACAGACACACATGCACACAAATTCCCTGGTGAGTGGTTTCTCCCTGAGGCTCTTCCACTGTCACTACTGGACTGTTTGCCCTCAGAGAACTGACCCTGGGCTCTGCTTTACTGCATGAATGTGTGTGTGCAGCTGTGAGGAACTGTGTCGTCCATGTCAGCTGGGGATTCGGCAGACAGATTTTCTTTGCTCTGAGCAGAGTCTTGTTTCTGGGTACTGTGTATGTTATTGACATGAAGCATGAATTTATGTGGGAAGACGTATACTGCACAGAAACACATGGTGTTACACACACCACCAGAGTGTGACGGGCAGAAAACACCAACAAAGAGAAATTGTTTCCATCTTAGGGTGTAATCTCCACGGGGGACGGCAGGTCTCTAGTTGGACATAGGAACAATATTTAAGGAAGGTGATCAGCACCAGGTGCTCCTGATCCTGGGGGTGATTGGGTTTTGACCACATGCTCATGGGGTCGACAAAGAAATGGACATGCTCTGACTGTTTCAGCAAATGGAGAGCTCTAGCTGTTAATGAATGTAACTACCAGTAATGATTATCTATGTGTGTTGAACCAGTGCACAACAGGAATGCTTCTGTGGCATCTGAAAAGCAAAGAGACCTGTGTTAAATGTAAAGTCTGTTTGTGCTGCTGATTGTTGCATCTGATGTTCATCTCCAGGGTCTCCCATAGGGATGATGCTCCAGTTTGTCAGTCGGGATCATCTCAGTTTCATTCTGTCACTTGTCTTTTGTAAACAGGGTCTGTAGTTGACACCAAACACTAACAGTCCATGTTATCAATATGGACACAACACACAAACACTGCTGACCTAATCTGACACATCATGTTGTTGAACTCAGGCTGCTTGATCCTAATTTGTTTCAAAAATCACCCCATTAAGTTTCTAAGCTTAACTTACCGGTAAGATACGAATAACTGGGAGAGTGTGAGTTGTGACACCTCCTGAACGAGGTGGGATTCAGTAAATAGCTGGACACTGTTGTTTGCTCTCCTCCCAGGTCAGCTGCTCTCCTCTGGTGTCTGTTCATTGTTTCCTTTAGTGTTCATGCTGTGTAGTATTGAGTAATGGTTTCTCTTTTCCCTTGACCTGGGCGGCTTTGTGGCTCTGTATGTATTTGCCTCATCATTACTGGGTTTTGTGTTAGTTTCTAGTTCTTGTTTTGAGGTGGCTTGTACTTCATGCCAGTTAATCTTATCTACTGTCTCTGCAGTTTCCTCTGCCTCTATGTTCTTACAGATCCAAAACTTACTTCAGTGGACTCATGTTAATATGAGAAAAATAACAAAATTACAAGTTTGCTGCTTGACTGAATCAAAAATATAGACTAATAACATTTAGGCATCTTTCAAAATCTAGCATCAAATTTATGATACATTTTCTCACAATTTTCTACTGCGTATCTTGTAATTCTGGAGTTTTAACTTTTCTAGTTGACTTTGTTTAAACTACAGATGGTGTTATATCTTCTAAAAAAATTATGATTATTATTAATGGCAGCATTTGTAGCTGGTTGATCAGATGCCCTTTAGGTGTCAGTGAGCATTTCCCTTTGAGGCGATTAATCACTTATCATAAACAGTTTCATTTAACAGATATTAAGTGACAAAGCAGAAGACAGGCAGCATGCAGGTACAGCTGGCTATGCTTCTGCTTGTTTATAGAAATGGAGTCCATGCTAAATGTTGATGTGTTGCATCGTTCATTACAGTTGATCGCATTACCTATGTTTTAGGCTTGTTCACGGCCAGTCCTGTCCCAATGAGTTGCAAAGTCTGACAAGCTGCTGTATTTCAGGTTCAGTTAAATGTGATGCCAGCAGCAGGAGGAGGCTAAAGATGGTCGTCAAGAAAACTGCCAATACAATCTGCAGCTTAAACCAATTTATTTATAAATTTAGGATCAGGTTTGGATGAATTCAGTTTGTATGAAGCCATGTTTTACGCCTAACAGCAACAATGCTTCTCCATGGCAATGGTGACAGGGGCTTGTGGGTGTTGTAGTATGCGGAGCTGTTCATTATGCTAAAATCAACAAAAGATGGTTTCTCAGAAAGCTGAAGAGTAAAACTGGCAATGATTTAAAAGTGATGTAATCACTGTATTATCCAGGAGACCCTATGAAGCAGGAGCACAGAGGGGTGGGATGCTCATCCAACTTTGCAGTTTTATTTCCCAGCATCAGTGTGTGTGAACTCCTCAGAAAGCACTTTCTTTTGTGGATCAGCTACTGCACCCGGAATACTTATGTCTCTATGACGCACGGGGGTGTGCTGCCGGTTGATTTATGGCTGCTTGACATGACACAGCTGGTGTTTGCTGAAGCTCAGTCTTGTTTAACCAATACTTGAAACTGTGCATGAAAACAGGTTGATGGAAACATACGACAGAGAGAGAAGGAGAGAGGTGAGACTGAATGGAAGGAGGGAGCTGAGGATGTTTAGAGATACATTCAGCCACTAAAAGAGAAGGAGAGGGAGAGAGGGGCGAGAGAGAGAGAGAGAGAGAGAGGAGGGCGGTTGGAGCTGGGGAGAGAGGGAGTGAGCTGAATGCAGTCCAACCTCTCAGTGCTGTGGAGCAGCAGCCCGTCAGTCCGATACTGAAGGACACTGAGAGAGGAGAGACTCCAAGCAGCCGACAGCAGAGGAGGGATCACAAAAAGGAAAACCACTCATTCTTTCACCTTTCCCTCTAGTCTACTGTGTGACTGGCTGGACAGAGAGGACGAACAGCAGCCGGGGGAGGTGAAGGTGTTCGAGCTCCATGGGTTCATTTCTGCTCTCACACCGTCGGCCTGAGGAGGCTCAGCCGAGGGTGTCACTGCGACAGTGCTCAGCAACGGAGCATGCACAAGCACAGTGCCTGCGTGTGTGTGTGTATGTGTGCTGCTGTGTGTTTAACCACTAACAGCTGAAGACTCAAGTCCCAGGTGGATCTGGAGTAAACCTGGGATTGTGATCACTAGGAGTTGCTTGCTGGTTTTTTGTCTGTTGCGCCTTCTTCCCCCCTACTCTCTCTCCGTCCTCCTCCGGTGCAGACATCTGTGCCGGTGCTCCGCTCGCTCACTTGCTCGTGGCTCTGCTGAGGGACTACTGCTGAGCTCTGTTCTCTGTGCTCTTTTCCTATCTTGCTGCTGTCCAGCCTTCAGCCAGCTTTGCTGTAACTGTGGCGGCACTACAACTGCCGGTCTCCTTCGCTGGCTCGTCCTTGGAAAGGAGAAGCAGATGGGTGAGTGCTGGAGAGAGCACAGGGAGTGCCCTTTTCCTGATCTGCTGCTTTCTGCCCCTTTTCCTGTTGTCTATTTTCTTTTCACCTCATTTTCACTTCTTCTCTTACTCTTTGTTGCCATGCTTGTGACTCGTTCATTCACCTGCACCACTTTTAACCCTTCACCTCCACTTCCATCATTCCTGGACGACCGTTCATCAGATATTTTGCGCCCTTCACTTTGCTTCCTTGGTTTCCACATAGCCTGTCTTCTCGCCTTGTTCCTTTGCCCCTTTTCCTGCAACCATCACTCATTTGTACCATCAGGCAAACTGACAGCACACACACACACATTCGTGCATCATAACCTGGAGCAATCAAAACTTCAGTGCCTGATGCCAAGAATAGATCTGACATTGACAATCGAGGTTTGAGCTCTGACAAAACCTCCATACCTGTCTTTATCCATCAGTCTGCTGCCTCATCACCCTGTCCACACATCCAGCACCACCTCCAGAGCCACCAACACCACCCCCATCCCCATACATCTTCCCTTCAACCCTCATGAATACAGATAAATAGCCACAGATGCATTCAGTCATCCACAAAAACTGGTACCTATTTGTCTTGATATCAGCTCTGCACACTCGTCATGATGTGGTCACCTGGATGGTGGAATTTCTTGCCTTCTTAATATGTTTGGCACCATCAGTTGCATTATGCTGGGGTGGGGTTGGTGTACAGCAAACAGCCCTGTTCCACTACTGTAGTAATCCATATTATGGACAGAACTTCCCACAAATAAGGAGAAACAGCAGTCCACCATTACTTTAAGACATGACATTCGGTCAATCTGGAAAATTTCAAGTGCATCAAACACTGTGATGAAACCATCAATAGTGAGGACGGCCCCGGGAAAGGAAGACCCAGAGTTCCCTCTGCTGCAGAGGAGCAGCTCATTAGAGTTACCAGCCTCAGAGACTGCCAATTAATGGTGCCTCCAGAGCCCATCTTCATCAAAGTTTCCCTGAGTTCAAGTAGCAGACATCAGCTGTTCGGATGAGACGGCGTGAATCAGGCCTTCATGGTCAAACTGCTGCAAAGAAACCACGACTGAAGGAGACCAAGAAGAAGGAGAGAACCGCTCAGGCCAGCAAACACAAGAAATGGACATTAGACCAGTGGGAGTATGTGCTTTGCTCTGAAGAGGAGTCCAAGTTTATGGTTCCAACAAATGTGTCTTTAAGAGACACAGAGAAGGTGAAGGGATGGTGGATTCCCACTGCGAAGGAGGAGGTGTGATGGTGTCCACATCTTTGCTGGTGAGCACTTTGAACCTGCACGGCTGTACCAACGTTCTACACTCCATCCCACCTGGTGTGTGCTCAGTGTGACCATCGTTTGTTTTTCAACATGACAGTGCCTCAGATCACTCCTTCAATTTCTGTCAGGGCTGTTTGACCACAATGGCAAGTGGTGGAGTGCTGCAGCAGGTCCTACACCTGGCTGACATGGTCTGGGATGAGCTGCACTGCAGAGTGAAGGTAAAACAGCCAGCAAGTGCTCATGTGCGAGCATCTTCAGCATCCAAGTGACCAGCTCATGAAGCTGACTGAGAGAATGCAGAGCTGTCATCACAGCAAAAGGCATCAGCTTTGAAGAATCTCCTATATGTCATATATGTCACTCCATGGCTTTGATATGAACATTCACATACGCACACAGCAGCAGCCTGATAACTGACACCTAGTTCGCTGTCGGCCACGCTGAACATCAGCAGTACACACTGAACCTGATCGCTGCTGTTAACACACACAGGCACACACAGAAAGCAGGCGGGAAGTTGATTCATTCACATGATAAATTATTCATCGGATGAGAAGTGTTCACATCCTGAAATATCTCGTGTGGTTCAGTTTGCAGCTGAAATGTTTATTAATTGTTTGGTTGAGTTGGAAACAGGAGCCTGATGTTAACAAACCTTTCATCAGAGTCTAAAGACGTAAACCTTCGTGTCCAACCTGTGGCCTGGGGGCACTGAGACTTTACAGAAGTTAATGTATGTGCACAGACTGAATGTGCAAATGCAACAAGCTGCAAGGGCTCAAAACACTTAATTCGAAGCAGGACTACACATTCTGATGATACAGCCAAGTTCTGTGGTCGGTACAATGAGGCTTTAATTTCATATATGGTCTCATAACTTGGACTTTATGTTGTGAACTTCTGTAATGGTTCTTTTGAACTTCATCTCCTGGTTTTTATCAGCAAATAGTGTTTGCTCAGATGTTATCACAAGCCATGATATTTGGTGGTCGTATGCCGACTTAATGTGGCCGCAGATGAAGACTGTGAGGCTTGTTTGAGCGCTAGAGGAAAAAAGAATAATCTCAAATAAGGGCTGTTTTGTCAGATTGCTACAACAGTCAAGAACAAACTTTAACCTCAGCTTTTAAACTGTTTAGGCAAAAAACAGGAACAGTGAAATTGTTTTAAATATAAAAATACGAAGTCTCAATTATTCATAAGATTTCTGATCAGATGTTTTTTAACATAAAACCCAGTTTTTCTTTGTATATTATTGATGTGCTGTACAAAGGTGCTAAAGCTGGACTAAGTGAGATTAAACTCTGCCTCTCCACAGAGCGTTCATCCTCTTCTTGGTAGCACATGGTGTCCTATCATGTTAACAGGCCAGTAGCAGGGCTGCTGGTCTATTTGTCTGTCAGTCTCTCTGCCCTTAGAAGATTAAAGGGGCTACATTTTATCTGTCAGCTAAGGTGAAGGCAAAGAACACCACCGTCCATTTTCACTCCTTCAGCAGTGCAAAAATAGAACTAGCTTCAGCTGACAGTTGGTTCTCTGCCAGAGTCTGCTCCATCCGACAGGCCTACCAGAGAGATGACTAAAATCTGATGTTTTGATGTGTTTACATCTGAAATTCACACAATGATCAAAGATGGAGAGCTGACAGGAAACAAGCAGACAGAGGCTCTCTGAGCCAGCAAAGTCCAGGTTCTAAATCCCCAGGCCACCAAGATGCTAAAATAGGAAACAGCTCCTATTTTCACCTTGGGAAAGTTCACACATTATTCCCTTGGTGTCCTAGTCACCCCAGACAAGCAGCCTGAAGGCGGCTGGTTTGCTGTAGCAGCTGGTGAACAAGTGAAACCATATGCCAACTTTTAAATGAGCTAAAATGAATCATTTCATGGTATAAAGTTACATTTTATTTTGATGCAAATGCTACAGATTTGTGGACAGCTCTGTTGAAGGGTGTTACTGTTGCACACCTGACTGAATTACAACTTGGAGACTAATGTGAAGGCTTTTGTCATTAGTGTCTAAATGACATGATCTGAGTGTAAAAATACTGTTACTAGCTACCCTTTAAACATGTTTGGGGAGAAATGATCTTTTAGCTACTGTAATGTTAACTTGCTGTTTGCTACATGAGCTGCTGCTCTTCATGGAGCTTGTTCCCATCTTCAGTAGGACCCCAGCTTGAACCCTAGCTCCCCATCCTCTGCAAAAGAGCAAGCTGCAAAATCCACAGCCAGACTACAAGTCTGATTGAGATTCAGATGTATTTTGTCTCACAGTGACATTCATGTCTTCATGAATGATGGCTGGAGCTACAGAGCCACAGCTGCAGAGAGATGTTCTTTTAACAATGCTGCTTGTTTTTTTTCCACAGTATTTCCTTTATGTGCGACTAATACCTTGGGTCTGTATCCACCACTACATGTACCTTTGTAAGTACTCTATAAAGCTGGAGTAGGCCTCCCCTCTAGCACTTTTTTGCCATGTGTATTTAAGTGTTGTCGACAGCACTCTTTTATACACTGTCTCTTGGGCTGCGTGTCGCCACAAAACCGCATCATGGAACAGGATAATTCAGTGTTTAGACATTCGGCGTTCACAGGCACTTACTTTAAGAAAACCTCAAGGCTGCAGCCACTGAGCTGAATGGTTTTTCTCAAGGGTGGTGGTAGAAAATCAACTTTTTAGCTGCTTGCTTGGAGTCAGGATTTAGTCACCTCTGAATGACGAACACCTGTGCTTTACGGGGCATCGTTGTTATTCAGCAAAGACTTGATTTGACCGTTAATGTCTTTTAAAGCTTAATCTTGACAGAGTTTCTCTTCTGTGTCAGGTGCAAAACAGCATAGCCTGTGTATCTCTGAGTGTGAGTCACGAGTCAGAGCATGTTATTATAAGAATCAGAGTCTTCAGATTTGGGAGTAATGGGTGGGAAAAAAATCAGATGGTGACTGAGGTGAGCGTTCCTGAGTTTAGTCAATGCAGGATTTATTCCAGAAAGCGTTAGCCTGTTGTTGTCACTGCGGGTGACGGGGCCGCTGATGGAGTTGGCCTTCAATCTGCACAGACGTCAGCAGCGTCGAGAGACTTCAGGCGTGTGTGTGTGTGTCTTCAGTTCCTGCCTCAACATAAAACCATGTGCAGGTTTGTGCTTTTGGAAACAGTTATATGTGTATGTTCTTGCCTGCACAGGCTGTTTGGCTGCATGAGTGTGTAAACTGTCTGTGTGTCCGCCTACACGTTTGTAGGTGCATGTGTGTAATGTTCACTGTGTGTATTTATGAGTGTGTGTACTGAGCGCTAGACTGCAGGCAATGCAAAGAGGTAAACATCCAGTCTGTTTCTTATTGCTCTAACCAGGAACATTAGCTGCAGCCTACACATTGATCTGCAGCGCCTCTCCACAGCCAAACGCACCGTGGCTCGACCGACAACAGAAACAGCACCTCTGGTTTTTGTTTTTAACCTTGGCTATAGAGAAGGAGTAGTGACGGCACAGTTAATCGATGACACAGAAAGTCATGGAAGAGGCTGATACAACTGCAGAGAAAACATATTTAAGAACATGATGTTTACAGATTCTCCCCAGATGAAACTAGTTGGTATCAGGAGCTCAGGCCTCTGGATGATTGAAAGTAACTAAGTATATTTACTCAAGTACTGCACCTAAGTAGTATTTTGAGGTATCTGTAGTTTACTTGAGTATTTTGCTACATTTTAGAGGCAAATATTGAACTTTGAACTCCACTATGTTTATTTTATAACTTTGGTTACTAGCTACTTTTCAGAACCAAATTAATACAAAAAAGTACAGTATAACCATAACAATTTATTGCTCTCCAGAGGGAAATTCACTTGCTACCCAGCAGTAATTCAGATTATAAGCACATGAGGTAGTTAAAACTAGCTCCCCCCTTACCAGCTGCAACATTAAAGTGATGGACACAATCATGCATCAGTGACTATAATCTAAGAATATGATATAAATCCACATTAAATGTGCCATTCTGCATAATGAGTACTTTTATTTTTTTACAATTTTAAGTATGTTTTGATGCTAATACTCTTGTACTATAATTAGGTACCATTTCAAATGCAGACTTTTACTTGTAACAGAGAACTTTTACTTAGATAAGGGATCTAAGTACTTCTTCCAATACGGGTGATGCCACAGCGACATATCACACTTCTGCCGTCAGCCTGGCCGCTGCTCGGCTCATTCATCATGCCTTACACGCCAGGCGACATCAGTCAGAAACTCCATCACCGCTGTTCGAAAAACCTTTTGCGTGGCAGAGACGGCTGCTGTCAGGCCTCACACATTTATGTCATAACTGAAGCGTATGTCTGCTGCCTTTTACCAGGGGAAATAGAAACAGGTGACTGGAGACACATGGCTGTTTTTAATTCAAGGCTCTCAGTCAAACTGGATGGATGAAACGTAATTACTAAAGAGTCATAGATGTACAGTCTGCAGTCAGATAATTCTTTCCTTGAATGGAACAAAATTATTTTGAGACATCATACACAAAGAAGTTACAGTGAGAAAAGATAAGTGAGATTTATGGCTGTGCATTCTGTTATCTGAGATTATACAGGTGTTCATGAGGTGAAAATAATTTGGCATTTACAATATACGACTGTGAATTTCCTTTTTTACAGTAAGTTCTGATATAAAAGCTAGTTTGCAAACAAACATGTAAAAACCTGTTGGTAATGAAGACCACGTAAAAACTCACCTGAAGCTAACAACAGCATTTAGAGCAAATAAAACCTACTGGATGGATCAGCACGTGAAAAATGTTGGGGGAACCTTACAAACACGATATTATGTTTTGGGCAAACTTGACATTAGTTTTTTCAAAGGGATCTGTGTGTCAGTAAATATTTGTCATTCCTGTGGCTGTGCTTGGTGTAGCCGTGTCCATGAGTCACTGCATCTCTCTCTTGTTCCAGAGAAACATTCTGTCAAGTCCCTAACAAGGACACGAACCACAGAGCTGAAATATCTCAGTGATGCTATAACAGTTTTGACTTGGAAAGCCACTCCTAAAACAACTGAGTGTGCTCTGCACAAAAAGTGTAAAATTAGAGCAAATTGGACTCTGGCTCACAACCTGTAACAAATCAGCGCTAAAGTGGGTGTTGTTCCAAGAGCACGTTCAGCTTCACAGTGAAGGTTTGCAGTCACAGATGGTTCATGTCTCAGATGATCTGAGCC